CAGCCATATTTTTATCTTTTTATTTTTTCAAAAAATAGTTTGTTGCTCTCGACAGCATCTCACACTTGTTTGCTCAGGAAGGATTTAATAGTTGAAGCTAGACCTGCTTTTTGTGTGCCAGTACCCTATATGGACAGCCTCATGCTCTTCCTTCCATTTCCCTACGAAAGACACTAATATCTCTCATTTACCTCTCTCCTCAGAAACAGGCTTGCATGCTGATCCGCAACCTAGTCTCTCGGAGCCGGGACTTTTCTCAGCCCATTTTAGAGATGGGAGCTGAGAACCTAATAACAGAAGCTCGTGCAACGCACAAGGACTGTGATGATGTGGCAAAAGCTGCCCTGAGAGATCTTGGCTGTAAAGTGGAGCTCCGAGAGCTGTGGACAGGTCAGAAGGGAAGCCTAGCTCAGTAAATCCTGAGTTCAATGAGCACTGGAGCTACAAAGCCTCTGTGTACATGAAGTCGGAGGGGGGAAACAAAGTGGCGTGGATTAATTTGCAGTTGCAACTGAGCTGGAATATCTGAAGCAAATGCCTGGCTTGTGAGGCTGCAGTGAACTTTTTTTTTTTATGGGAGCTACAGCTGAAATGGCTTTATGCATTCACAGGCTGGAAATCAACTCTGTATCGTAACCATTCCCTGAATCGTCTAATGCCTGAAGAGGGTCTGTTCTCCCCTGTTGTTTTGTATGTTACTTGTTTACAGAACAGGGCTGTTCCCATGTGCTCCGTTCTATACAGTAAGAGCAAAAGTGGATTTTTATTAATAAGAATTTGGTACATACTGTGGCAGCTGATTCTGGTTTGTTCTACTCCCTGCCAATAGAGGCAAGTAGCCTAATCTGGTAATGAGTTGGATGAGGAGGGATCCCATGGTTAGTAAATGTGTTCTGTCCTATTTCACTGTTCTTATACTAACTGTTATTTTACTGCTGTTTTACTACTGACCATATTCTGTGTTGCTTCTTTGTGCTGGATTTTCAGTAAACATAGCGTTTTAAACGAATGTGAAGTAAGGAATTCAAACAGTAAACAGATGCCCAAATCAGCATACTTTATTATGTTACCATTTGCTTCCAGGAGGAAAGGTTGTGTTCTCCCTCAGTGAGATGAGCAAGTCAGGGACTGGTAGTGAGGACGGTAGTTTAAAAGCAGGGACAAACTGGCAGTGAGTACCACAAAAGAGGAAACTAGCACTGGGGAGTTCTTGGTAGGGCAGCGCTCCCTTGAAGCCAAGAGTGCTGTTGCTAACTGTGATGAACAGGCTGTGCATCCTGGGGACTGAAGGCAAGCACAGATTTGGGGGCAAAACAGGAGAGGTGAAGCAAAAGGCGTCTGTGTGCACCCAGCCAAGTGGTTCCTAATTCTTGCTGTGCTATGCTGTTACCAGCTCTTTGGGTGCTGATAGAACCTTCCTCTTGCACTACTTACTTCATGCTTGAGTGGATATTTTCTAATGTGATAGTTTCTGTAGAAATGTTGACCCTCTAAAACATAAAAAGTTTAAGTATGGTCAGCTCTTTATGGAGCCTTTCTGAGACAGAAAAAGAAAGGTAATTAAAAAATGTCTTGGTGCTGAGTTCGTAAGTAAATGCTGCTGCAGCCCCCTGTTATCTCCCGACAGATAACAAAGGTAAACGTGTTCTTCAAAGGCCATGCTTGCTAATCCCACAAGCAGTGTTTATATGAGCAGAAGCTGCTAGGTCTCCTCCTCTGTTCCTGTTGTGTAAAAAGCATGTTTGTGCACTGCTCTGATCCTAGCTGAGAGCTGAAGGTGCCCCGCTCATTTGTGGCAGAGCGAGTGAGAAAGGCTGAGGAAGAGGCCCTGAGTCACCAAACGCTGCACGTGCCCGGCATTGGAGAGAGCCTGATCGCTCTGGGGAGCGCATCTGATGCATCCTGGCTCTTTCCGGCTTTGCCCTGCTAGTGGTTCTGGGAGGGGAGAGAAGTAGCACCGACGCTGAATGTGGTGCTACGAGGGAACTGAAAATGGGTTTTCCCCACAATGACAGGAAAGCTTGCATTACTTTTCCTTCTGCTTTAAACAAGTGTTGGTGTGGTG